AATAAAAAGGCGAACACAACACAGAGAAACAGTAGTCTGATGTGGTTGTGTTATGGACCAGTTCTGGGCAGAGTAGGTGGTTGGTGCAAGAACTCTTTGATACATTTTTTGAGCATGAAAGATGGATCTAAGAGAAAATGCTGTGTGTGTGTGTTTGTGTGTGTGTAGTTGTGTACAACTAGGCACTCCTGTCTGTCTTGTCTCTGTCCATCATTTTCTCCCTCTTCCTTTCATCTCGACTAAAAATATCTCCACTGTCCCTTCCGGCTGCTACACCTTTTGTGTTACTTCTATTTCTCTCTCATAACCACCTGTGAACTTGTGACTCAGACTTCAGGAAGTTCGTGCCGAGCACAGTCATGGTCTTCTGAATCAACGCGTAGGTGTAGGATTATAGCACAGTTTAAAAAAAAAAAATCATTCTATTTGATGTAACTTCAAATCCATTCCACAATCACTGGAATATGGAGGTCAGTTTAACATCAATGAAGGGGTCTCTTCTAAGACAAGAGGTAACACATGTTTGTCCCCTATACATGTTAGTTCTATTTTTTTAATATTAATAAATATGTTGGGGTGTCCATAGTACTCTAAAGCAGCTAAAGCTCTCCAAGAACTTTTTCCCAAGGTCTATAAGTAAGCCAGCCTCTTTAAATGAGAAAAATGTGAAGCATGGTTTTGCCTGGTAGTTAAAAGGGGACTTTTTTAGAAATTGAATAAAGGAAAATTATTGCTAATAAATTGCAATCATACACTTATTTGTTTAAGCCAGAATGTATGAAATTATCTGTAGTGCAGCAGATTTGATCATCTGTGCCTATATATTCAGAAAGGGGGGATGTGGGTAACTCAAATATTCTAATTTCTTACCATTCTTTATGGATCACCTTAAAAAGTCATATTATAGCACACTGAAACTCAGATGGTAGCATTTTTTTTATTTCTTTGTAAACTGACTTTCATCTCTTTTTTTAAAATTTATTTATTTTTACATCATTGTTCATTTTTGTACTATGTTTAACTTCTCCTCTCAGGCATTGTCCCCATAAAATTACTACCACCAAGACACCTGTGAACCATCACCAGAGATTCTTTTGCTCTTCCCTCCCATTTTGATTCCTTTCTCTTTCTCTGATGAATGTCTTCAGCTTATTATAGTTTGACGGCTAGTTTTATAGTTTTTCCCTGATCTCTTGTATGGTTTCTGTATGTTTCTCCTATAATAAGTGAAATCATCTGATATTTTTTTCTTTTTCTTCTGGCTTATTTCACTAAACATAATCCCTTCCACCTCCATCCACGTTGTTGCAAATGGCATTGGTTTATCTTTTTGATTACCGAGTAGTATTCCACTGAGTTATACCACATCTTCTTGATCCAGTCATCAGATGGTAGCATTTTCAATGTCACTTGAATGAATGTGTGCTAATGAGTACCCCAGGGAGATCACATGTCTTACCCATGATCACATGTCTACTCGTGGCAAAGCTGACACCTGTGTGATGACCAGCCCACCCAGCCAGGGAAGAACCCACTTCTTCCTGCATATGGAGCACCCGCAGAAAGCTCCATAGAAGGTGCTGAGGTGGGACACAGCAGGGCAGAAAGTGCTCCAGAAAGCTGTTTCTTCTCTGCCCTTATGAATAAACTTTCCACTTGCCCCATCATTTGCCTGGTCTCTCAGCCCCCAGGTGGCTGGTGTGACAGCCTGAAAGGGGCAGTGCTGCCAGTAGGGAAGGGCAGCACAGTGGCTAGCTAATGAAGAAGTTTAGAGCTGGCTGAGTAACTTTAAAGAGACCCTTGGTAAGAATAGGACAAGCTAGCAGAGGAGGCCAGGAAGAAACTGTCACTGCAAACATCAGCTCGAACTCTGGCAAATCTAAGATCCAAGATGAGACTAGGACATGAAGTAAAGTACAGCCTTCCAAGGTCTGTCTCGGAGTCTGCAGAATGTGAACTCCAGGTCACAGTGTGAGCTGGAGGCATCCTGGGAGGCATCTTTCCCTTACCTGCCTTTTTAGCCTTCCAAATCCCTATAATGGATGCATGAAGTCAGTACTCAAAAACTGTCTTCCTCTCATAGGTTTTCTCACTTGGGATAACAAATACCATGGAACTCTCAACATTTTATGGCGCATCATCATTTTCAAAGTGTTTGGATTCAATTTCTCATAGTACCCCTATTGATTCACTCAGTAAAAATATGTTGTCAACATGCAGTAAATACGCTGTGCAGATGCACTAAATGAGCTGATTCAGAGTGAGACACTGTTCTAGGCACTAGGATCAGCAATGAACAAAGCAGGGTGGAAACCTTTGCCCCATTTTACAAATGAGATGACTGAGGCTGACAGAAGCTAAGGACTTTGTCCAAAGACACATCTTAATAAGTGCCAGATGTAGAACTAAATTCAGACATTCAAATTTAAAATGCTTGTCCCCCACTGGCTCTTACTATATTCTTCTGTGGTTTTGGTTTTGGTTGTTTTTATACTGCTACTGAAGGACAAAAAATATTTTTGTGCTTTGAGATTTGGGACTTTAACATTAGTGATCATCCAACACTCTGACCTCAAACAGTCTGTTTTTACCAAAGATGCAGAAATTCTCTGAGCCACTGAGCCAGGCTTATCCTGTGCCCTGGAGTCCCCAAGAGATCTGCTGAGGCAGAGCCTGGCACAGAAAGGAGCTGCACAAAGGACAAATCTGCTCAACTTAGAGCCAACTGGAAAAGAACCTGGAAGCCAGTTTCCCTCCGTTGCAGGTGTCCCATGAATGGCTCGTCTGTGCGTCAGCCCACTTTTCCGTGAGTCACTTCAATCACATCGTCAAAGCCACATTTAGCTGAAGGGTGTTTCCATATAGAGGGAAAGAGACTAGTACTTAGGGAGCATGGGGACAACCCATGGATTTAGATGATTAAAGGACGGTTTGAAAAATCGAAACAGGAGTGATAGGATGGTGCTGGAAGAAGCCAGAATGAGATGGGGAGGTAGAGGTGGCTGTCTTGCATAGGACCCTCTGTTCTGTGTACGTCTGCAAAGGCTGTGTCCTGTAGGCAACCAGGGTTGCTCTAACTTAGGGGACAGTGTCTGAGGCCCAATATGTAACCCCTAATAATGAAAAGGTACCACTTGTCACTAACATCTAAGTTAGCCATAATAGATATTTTTAGCTGATCCAATTAAGCCTTTTTAAGCTCAATACAGTTAGAGAAACACACACTCACATGCACACACGCATGCACATGGAAGCACTCACAGGCCCTGGTCCTTGCATCTACCAAGTTCCTTGTCACTAGTTAAAGGAAGTGAAATTTAGAACTTCTTCCCTGTCTTCTGTTTCCTGAGTTGAAGTACACTGCTTAATACAATTAGGAAGATGGGATGAGAAATAGCTTTCTCATATTTAAAATGGAAAACTTTTAAATCCACTCCCTCTGATTGACCCATCCTGTATCTCAAGTATCTGTATATTTCCTAAAAGGGGGATAGTGGGAGAGGCTCTCGGCATGCTGGCTTGACAATACATCTCTGGGGGAAAACAATCCCCTGATTTCATGGTGCCCACCAGTTCCTGCGGGGTAGAAGTACCTGTGGTGGCCCATTTCAAGTTACCAAGGTGGCATCACCAAACACAGTGCTGTGAAGAGATCTGCATAATCAGTTCTCTCTGCTCCCAGCACACCATAGGACCCTGCTGCATCCTGTTCCCACTCTTCACAGCAAAGAAGCCTTAGCAAGTCAGCCTTCCACTAGGAAATGGCTTTCCAAGGGCAGAACCAAGGTACTAAAGCCTATTGGTGTCACTATGGAGATGACAGAGGCCCAGCAGGCTCAACAGACTACATCAACACACTCATTTTCAATAAAACTAAAGATCTGTTGTGTCTCCCTTAACCTCTCAAATTCTGACTTTTACATATCCTTCCAACTCTGGAACTCACACTATACCTGGTCCATTCCAGAAGAAAGGAAAAAAAGGGAGGGAGGGAGAAAGAAAAGAAAAGATGTTATTTGAAGGGAAAACATCTATAATTAGTACAGGGAGCAATGAGCAGAGAATTGCCAAGGCAGACAGGCAGATGGCGTCTCCTGCAGACGGTTTGTAGCATTAACTAGAGGGACAGAAAAGATAGTCCTGCTTCTCGGTCATGGTCTTTTGTAATCCACTGCTCTGAAACTATTTCCTGAACACATCTGTCATTATTTTAGCACCAACAAAAGCCACTTAAATTTTCCCTAATTTTACTACCTAAAAACCCAAGAGTAGGTAATTATGCTTCCTGCTGACAAACCACAAAATGTTGCACATGCCCAATTACAGAGAAATATTGAAATGGTGAAGGAGGGGCCAGGGGGAAGACTGCAGCTCTATAATCACAGTAGGAAATGCAACTCATTTAGCCTTAGAAAATAAAAATGAATGGTTTTCTGAGGGTCCTTGATCTTCTATAAGGTCTTTTCAATTAATTTAGTCTGAATAATTTTCTTGGAAAATTACTTGAACATTTCCATTTAAACTATTAGAAGGCCATTTCCCAAATCATTTCTTCAGTTGTATTAGGTCAAGTACTTCAGCAAGGAAAAAGAATTCCTTTGTTAGTGTTCTGCCCTGGTGACCCCCTGTGGTCTGAACACAGCACGGTCAGAGCAGGTCTCTGTGACATGAGGTACAGTGGGGATTGGTGTGGTCCTTCAAAAACCCACCCCTTCAAGGCCTCTTTCCCTAAAGAACAATGTCCAATATTGAGAGGACCTAGAGACCTTCAATGTAGGACTCTGAAGTCCTACGTGTACCGCCAGTGAGTACTCACAAGAGGCTGCTGAGCCAGCAGCACTGAGGATAAGCCAGCTCAGAGTCCCCGGGGAAGACTATAAACTACAGAGAGAGGAAGGTGCCCCTGCTTTGGTGGAACAAACGGGGTAGGACCTGGGCCAAAGGGACCAAGCATTCAGGATGGATATCAAATCAAGAGAAGTAGCTGGGGGTCATGAGGTCAGACCCCACAGGCTGCCTGGAACCCTGCTGAGGCTCACTGTCAGAGGCCAATAGAGGTACCTAGGCTGACTAGGGAGACAGGGATGGTAGAGAGAGAAACAAATCTGGAGGATTTAGAGGATGCACAACTGCAACCATAGGCCATGTGATTCATGCCTCTATTTCTTACACATGCTGTTCCCTCTGCTCAGAATGTCATTCCTGCTTTTTATAGCAACTCTAACTCTACCCACAATGCCAAGTGATTGGGTCCATCCTCTGTGACGTTTTCCAATTTGACATCTCCATTATCAAACTGGCCACCTCTTGCCTCATCTATGTTTGTACTGATGGCCAAGAACCCCAAAAAGCAGTGTTTGGTACATAGCAAGTGTTTAATACATGCTTATTGAATGAATAAATGAGTGAATGGAAAAAGGAGCTTCTACCAAATATAATGTGCTAGATGGAATGAGCTATTGATACTATAATACTTTTAAAAATGAGGCCAAAAGATCAGAAGTGGTAGAGGTTTTTCCTCTGAGACACCCAAGAAGTAGTCACTAGCTGGACATTGTCCTTTGTTCCTGAGACAATAAGAAGAGAATAAGTCTTTGCAGTTACAGCAAATATCAAATTGAAAAGCTGCAGATTCACTGGTAGCAATAAAGGTCTGACATACAACACTTAAACAATGGTGATGATTTATAGTCAGTGGAACACCTAAAAAATATAGAGGACCTAAAGGAATTGGCAGTGTTCTAGAGCTTTCCAGATTGAGAGTCACTTACCTGTCAGATTCCTAGGTCCACCTCAAAGATTCTGCTACTGTTTTCAGGCCAATTGTGTTTCAAAACATCCCCTGATTGATTCTGATAATGAACAGATCTGGAAATTGTGGAAAGCTATGTCTAAGCCAGCATGATGTGATTTGTGGTGTAGTATCTGAAGTTATTGGCTAGATGGCCTGCTGTCTACATGGTAGACTAGATATAGTCTTGATAAATAACTTAATCTACTATGTTTCTATTGCATCATCTCACTTAATGTTCCAAACAAGTACCTAAAGTTACTGAAGGTAGTTTGCACTATTCCATCACACAATACTGACATGGGCAAAAGAGGTGACCTGCCCACCCATTAAGTGACAGATCGGAATTCAAGATCCTGGCCATTTATTCAGGAGGCTGTGTTCTAAACCTGTTCCATACTACCTCTTTACTGAAATGTAAGGGTACAAAGCCACATTTTAACACACAGTCTTAAAGAACTGGCACATGGGCTTGAAGTTCTTTGTGTTGCCTTGGGCACACTGAGGTATGACAAGATGCTGCAAGGGAAATGCAGAACCTATGTGTACTTGTTGCATGAGCACAGGGGAAACACATTCAGACCAACCTGGAAGGATCTGGGGTTCCTGTGAAATAGTGAATGCATGGCAACCTTCTATTCTGAGGCAGGACAGACACTCCACTGGCGGTGGTGAGGAACAACTCAGAATCTACACAGACTCCACTGGCTTTGTCCCGTAAGATGTCAATCATAGTCTGTACAGTGATGTTTTCTATAAGAAAAGGTAGAGACAGGAGATGCAATTGTGTCAGGCTGTTCACCAAAAGCCATTCATTTCTTTCCCATTGTAGACCTCTCGAAATTATAGCTGGAAGTGTAACTGCTCAACAGTATCTCCCAACCTCTCCTATGGCTAAGTGGGGCCTTGATTGGAAAGGAGCTATCCCAAGAGATGTACTTGCTCACCTTCTTGCTTTTCTAAGCTCTTTTTGCCTACACAGCAGTCCACATGGTCATCAGCTGAAGAAAACACTTCAGAAAAATTGAATTCATCCTCTCCGGTCCACCAACCTTGACGCTGAGCGTAACTTCTGAGTTCGGGATGCTCAGCATCGATCTTAGTGGTGAGTGAGAACTGATTGCAGATGCATTTCACTCCCTCTGTAGAAAGTGCAAAGCCCGGTTAGTTGGAAATACAAACATTTAATTGAGAAACAGAAATTTGGACCTCCCTGGTGCCTTAGGAGTTTTATATATCAGCACTGTCACCTGTATGGTCTAAGCTTGATCCCCAACCAGGGAGCTGAACCACATGGAACAGCAGACCTCTCCTATCTCACCTGCTGGTCCCCTCAGCCATGTATTTCAGTCAGTCTAACTGTTCTGCTCCCCACTCTGTCTCTGGTGAATCTCCTCACACCCCTACACTTCCAGCCTACACCCCAGCTCTTCTACAAATAAATAAATAATTCTATTAAAAAAGGGTAACAAATGTATAGGGAATCCCTCTCCCCTGCAACTTGACTTTAACTACAGGAAGTTAAATTTTGATTCGATTTTTGAAGAAATAAATGAGTCTTGCTACTCTTTTGAGGTAACCTCTCAGAAGACTTGACAGGATCTGACCGGCATTATCACATTTTAAATGAGTAGTGGTCACTTGGTCTTAAATTCACAATCAAAAGGAAACACATGAGCTAAAACACATTTTGGCTAAATAAATCCCAAGCACTTACATATATTATCTACAAGAAAAGCAAAAGTCTCCTCAAAGACCCTCCTAATATGAATGTCTCAATAGCAGATATTCCTCAATTTACATCACCACAATGCTCAACTATATGTAATGTCCATGTACTATATATGTTGTATATATGAACTAAGTATGAATTAGCTATATATATGCAATTATATTATATATATAGCTTCAAAAATACATATGACACTTATTTAGTCTTCTCTAGATCCCAATATAGAAAAACTGGCAATGAATTGCTTTAAAATAATAGAATGCACATGTGAATTACATGTCTGAGCATGTATGTATTAGACACATGCATATGTGTGTGCATATGTATAAAAAGTACAGGAACTTTTCTCACAAAAATGCAAGCCTCGCTAAGTCTAGAACCCAAAAGGCCTCCATCCAGTTTGATAAATGAGGATAAGGTCACATATTTCACTGCTGGCACTTGCTGTGTATTCTCCAGTCTAATTTGCAAACACAGAGAATGATCTGGCCTTCAAGCTTCAAGATCCTGCTCGTAACATTCAGAGATTAACAGGTGAAACTCACAAAGGCCATTTACAATTCTCTCTGGGATTTGGATCTTCCAAATTCTGAGAGAATGAAGTAGAGAGAGAGAGAGAGAGCCCAAAATCAAAACCAGCAAGAAAGTCATGATTGCCTGAAAACCAGCTCCCTAGAGGCTAGATCAGTGCTGGGATTGAATTCTTCCAGAATGTTCTATGTCCCTGATTTACACTTAGACAAAATAAGTATCCCTGGCGGATAAGCATTTGTTCTTTGCTTATTCCTCTTTTTTTCAAAGACACCAATAAGAATAAAATTATTTTTAAAAATAAAAAGTAGCTTTGTTCTAAATAACTAATTATGTTTATTCATGCTAAGCCATTTCTTTTAAATTTTGTGAACAACTCCACAGATGTTATTTTCCTAAAGGGTTGATTCATAATAGACTTTTTTTTTTTTTAAGAATTTTAGCATCTGGGGACCTGGGTTCATTAAATCCTACTGCTGTCACACTGTTGTTGGGATTCAAGGACATGAAATCAATGAGTCCAAGCAATGACCGGGGTTTTTATTTAAATAATTGGTGAAAGACAACATTCATTTTTAGGAAATGATTTTTCTTAGGTTGTATCCTGAAGAAAAGTTAAGGTTTTGAAATGCAATTATAGAGCAAAAAGTTAATAAATTCTACTTAAAAACATGAAGACAGCTTTCAGCAGGGACCACTAACCCTCTTGATGGACCTGTTTGACAAACTTTAATCTTAAGAGTTTTCTATGAAGGGGTTTTAAGTTCCTGCATCATGGGCCTCCCTAGTGGCACAGGGGTTAAGTCTCACTACTGTGAAGTCATCTGTAGCCACTGCAGCACGAGTTCAATCCCCAACCAAGGAGCTGACCCACATGGCGCAGCAGACCTCTCCTGTCTTGCCTGCTGTTCCCCTCAGCAGTGTGTTTCAGTCTGTCTGCCTGCTCTGCCACCCACTCTGCCCAGTGAATCCTTTCGCCACTTCCATGCACCTCTAGCTTGTACCCCAGCTCTTGTATGCATAGACAAATGCATATTATTTTTAAAAATGTCCTGTATCACAGGGGCATGAGCCCCTGAGAGGCCACACTGGCTGCCTTAGTTCTATAACTACTGTGGGAGGAGGGCAGACCAGATGGGCACATGAGAGAGAGAAACTCTGAGATTTCTGTGAGTACAGTCAGCCCATTCTACACCTTGGTGAGTCTGAGGAGTGGCTGCCCTCTCCACTTCAGGCAGACAGAGCCTTCGCACAACTTGCCCAGAAAATGGCAGGCTAGATTTCACAGCTTCTGTGGTGCACCCTGGCATTGAACACAACATGCCCACAGCAACCCTGGTCACCAGTCTGATTCAGGTCACAGAATCTTTATTGAAGTAAATCATCTGCAACTAACTCAGGGGATTTGGTCCCAAACATCCCAACAGCGGAGATGGCAAACAAGTTTCATACCCAACATCATTTAAAAAAATTGGAAGAAACTTTCTGGTTTCTTCCAATTAAGAAAAATATATATAGGCCAAGTACAGGTTCAGGAAGAGAAGAATGCTGTGATCCACTAGCCATGACTATCACAGACACAGGATGTGAGCCTGCAGAGCAGTCCCAAGGAAACCCAGCTTTCTCTTGGAACTCCTTGATTCTATTAGAAACCCTTTGATCTATTTTGGGATCCCAACCTATTCAGAATATGAGGGTGGTGAGATGATATTTAAGACAGGCACTCCCACTCCTAACATTTCCTTTCCCAGAAATGTCCTTCAAAGGCTTAGAACAAGATGCTGCAGGGAGCACAGAACAGAAATTTCATGAGCATTAAATCTTTCTGGGTGTGTTCGCTAGTCCTCTTCTTTCTGGGAACAGTGCTTTAGTGGTACCTAGAAATGTTGGCTAGCAGTGGTACTGAAGAATCTTTACACATCCAAATTCCTCATCTAGAGAGGATTCCAAGCACAAAGAGCCACTTAGCCAGGGGTGGCCAGGGGAAGTTCCCTGTTTAGTGATTTGTTGACGTGTGATGATCGGAATGGTGAAATATAGTCATTCCCTTGGCCAATGAATATAGTCATGATTAAGATCATGGAACTGCTGGTGGTCAGAACTGAATCCTTTCCAGGAGCGAACAGAAAATAAACTGTTAAAAGCATGCTTCACAAGTGTTGACATGCCTGCACTCAGACTCAGGAAACATCTGGTTCTTAAGAAGCAGAAGAGTCCTCCCTGGTGGCACAGCAGGTTAAAGCACAGCACTAAGAAGCTAACGCCACTTCAGCATGAGTTTGATCCCCGCCTGCCTCGGAGATGATCCATGTGTTGGGGTGGACCTCTCCTGATCCGCCTGCTGCTCCCTCAGCAGTGTGCTTCGTCAGTCGGCCTGTTCTGCTCCCCACTCTGTCTCTGGTGAATTCTCTCACTGCCCCTGCACCTCTGGCCTGTATCCTAGTTCTGTATGCATAAATAAATAAATCTTTAAAAAAAAAAAAAGAAGAAGAAGAAGCAGATAGATAGGAGGCTCCTCCCAGGTGGAAGAAGCAGGCAAAGCATTGAAGACCCAGCACAGAGGGGCTGCAAGGCAGAATGATTCCTCGGGTCAGGGCTAGAGAACCTGACAACGGGCCTTTCCAATCCTGGAGGCTTCTCCCTCTGCACCACTCACCTGTGATTTGCTTAGCAGCCCAGTACTTCCCAATGGTCTCAAGCACCCAGGCTTCCTCGCGATCCACAATCAAATATGCACTTTGGAAGCTGTGGCAGGAATTTGCGTCTTCATAGTAATTCCCACCTTGTCCGTGTTCTTCCAACAAGGCAACGATGACATCTAAGGCTTCTTTAGCTGTCGTCCCTCTTTCTAAACCAAGCCTAAAGTAAGGAAACCAAGCATATGCCTCTGCCATATCATACCACATGACTATTATTATAGTAACCAAAGACCAGGACAGGGCTGAGTTCTGAAGGAAGCCAGCATGTGTAAATATGCCAAATACAAAGGCCAATATAAAGCAGATTAATGGTATCTACCTCAAAATACACCTCCTATATATTTTATTTAAAACTGTGGTAGGATTTTCAATGGCTTTTTCAGGAATCAGTGGCTTCTCCCTATGGAAAGGAAGCTCAACCATCTCTCTCTTTTCCAAGTCTGCCTCCATGGAACCATTAGCTCAGCTCTCGCCCTTAGTGAGACCCCCTACAGTTCTTATCTGAAACCCAGGCAAAAGATTATCTCTGCCCAATCCAGCCTGGGCCTCTATTATTTTCTACCCCAGATGTTTTCGTTAGTAATAAAAGAGGTCTGTGGCCAGTCACTGTCCTCAGTACATATAATTAACTCAGAGATCTCATTAGGAATGTGTGGCTGGTTAGGACATGACCAAACATTTTTCTATCTATTCCTCCTACCTACCAGCCTTTCTCTACCAGCATGGCTTACAGTTTCAGTTATCTGAAAGTATGTGCTTTTTCTGACATGAAACAGCAAAATCCCCCCTCTCCTGCCAGTTAATAGAGTCCTTAAAGAGGGCACAGAAAATGCCATCAGTGTGACTTTGGGCTAATTACTGAGTATACTTGAATTTCAGTTTTATGTCACCTATAAAATAAGTATGTTATTGTCTCGATATAAGAATGGACTTTACGAGATAAAGAATAATAAAATACAGAGTGCTAGTCCCCAGGACCATATAAGTAATAGGCAGATTGTGAGAGGTGGCAGCTAGGGGCAAAAACCTATAACTCAGAGATAAGGAAACACGGCTTCTAGTTTTCTTTCTGCTACCCACCTGAGTATGATCTTAAGAAAAGCAACCTTGCCAAACCTGATTTTCTCCCCTACTCCCCTCTCAGGCTGATTTGAAAGAGTACAGCATATAACATAAACTCGGTAAATGTCCATTTATTCATCTGCATATTCAAATTGTAATCCCAGTGGCAGGAGTGCAAGTCTTAGAACAGGGCACTTACTGAAATAGCATAGGCTGGTACTTGGTGAATTTTCAACAAGAAGCAACATTTATTGAAATGCACTCAACTGGATTCTTTCTAAAGGGACATTTCATTGTGTTGCCAGAGTAAAGGTCAGATTATGCAACTAACTGCTATGACTTATTCTTGTAATAGGTTTATTTTCATAGTCAAATAATTATCAGCAAGATTGTGTCATTCATGTGGCTACTAATTTTCCTGTCCTGAGATATTTCTTTTTACTGTATCTTAAATGGGTGTTAAAATCTTGCATTGCTCAATTTTCTGTCATCCCTATAACCAAACTGAATTCTCTTTGAAGATTTTGAGCTTCATGTGCCAGCAGGGTCTGGCACAAAGCAGATATTCAGTAAATCCCTGTTGCTTCATAGACTGGTAATCTTGAAAAGAAACATCAGAGGCTTTAAAGACAGGATGGGGGGGAATTCTCTTCAGGCATTCCTTAGAAACAACTGGTGAGCTTTGCCAGCTCTATAAACTCCATGCCACAAATATAATGATAATTCAGAATGCAAGACTCTAAACGAGGCATTAAAGGGGTACATTTTTCATTGTCAATTCTTCATTTTCAGGATGTCTATGAAATAGCATTAAAAATACCAGGATAGCTGTCAAAACGTCAAAACGTAAGCTTGAAATTTATCTTATATCATTCTGTGAATCAACAGAATATGATTATAAATATCAGGCCTTTTCCTCTCTTTTCCAGTTCAGAAACTTGTTCCTTCTAAGCTATGAGAATCAGGCGGGTTCTGGGTGAAGGTATGAGTGAGGTGAGGAAGATACAAAGACAGCATGCTATCAAAAAATACTGCTGATACACCCAACTATCAGTTGGAAGATACTGGCCCCATAGGTCTCCAGGGACATAAGCACGTTCTCCCTATAAAACCTACAAGATGTCATGACTTCTATAACTTTTTATAGGATGTCAACTTTGGAAGGTTCTTTGGGTGGAAGTCACCCAATCTTGGTCTCACACTGAACAAATGAGAACACTAGTGTCCAAGGAGGTGATATATTATGATGTATCCAAAATGAATCAAAATCCCTACTCTCAGCCCAAGCTTCTTTCATCTATGTCATCATTCTGTTATATTTCACTCTATCACAAAAAGGAAAGCTATGGCAGCCCCCTTTACTCATTCATTCTAGACTCATTGATCACCTATTATGCGCCAGGCACACAGTTCTTGGTGCCTGTGACACAAGCAAGTGAACAGCCAAGGTCTCACTCCTATTCACCTTACATGTCTGCTTCCTTCTGTTGTATGGTGGCCGGAAGAGGAGGAGAAAGAAGAAAGTACACCTGAGATATTGAGGGGAAAGGGGGACAGTCTCTGTTCTTTTCCTTAGTACCTGATGTATTTTATATCTTCTTTTCTTTTATATATTATTAAATATATTTTAACAAACACAAAATTCCTATGTATTTCAGTAGTCTTTGGTACATTTACAAAGTTTGCCCAACTGGTAATTTCACCACAATCTTAAATTTAAAATATTTCAGCATCCCATAAAGAAAGCCTGTGTCTATTAGGAATCAGTCCTCATTCCTATCTCTCTACCCCAACCCCCAGCAGCTACTAATCTGATTTCAGCCTCTATGAATTTACCTATTCTAGATATTTCCTATAGATGGAATCCTGCAACACATAGGCGTGTGATAGTCTGTGTGGCTTATAATGTTTTAAGATTTGTCATGTTGTAGCAAGTCTCAGTACTTCAAGATTGTTTTATTGTTGACATTTCCATTGTAATCTGTTTTTTCCCAGTCACTTCAAGGTTTATGTCAAATGCTACAAATCTTCTTTAGGATGATTACATTACACAGTAATGGGACTTGAGGGAGATAAATCCCAGCCCCACTCCCCACCTGTTCTTGGCAATTGTTTCAAGGAGTCCCCATGTAGTACCTGACCAGATCCATCCCCAGTAAGGCTTCTGTCTCAGCTGCTGGTTCTTTGGCATTGATGGCTTCATTGGCTATGCACACTCCATGTTCATTGGCTCCCATTTCTGCCCCCCAAAGCCAGGCAGGTCTGCTTATCACAATGGCATGAGTCCTAGGAACTTGGTCGATGGAAATGTAAGTACACTAAAATATGAAGACAGTAAGAAAGGTCTGTGAGCCATCAGGAACCACTTAGTTTTCACCCTGATAATTAAGTTGAATCATCAGTTCATTTGTAAACATGTCTAAATTACAATGGACCTTGGAATTACCCAGACATAAAGGACACCCCACTACCACCACCACCCCACAAGTCTCAGTGAAGCTCAAAGGTCTCACGGTGTGTTTCAGTTTGGTAGAGTTTAGTTTTCAGTCTCCTTGGTTAAAGCCAATTAGTCCACAATGAGTATGTAGATGGCAATCATCTCCTGAAATAGATATTCATTCTCTACCTGAATATTCTGTGTCTGGTTATCGCAATAGGAATAGTTAGCCACTGGCATTTTAAACATAGCTATTTATTCTTGCTTGCAAAAACCCTTCTGGACCAGTAGTTGTCAGACTTTTAAAACATTATAGAGTCCTATGTATAAAAGAAACTCTATCTAGGAGTCTAATTTAAGAAACAGGTAATAAGAAAGCCACTTTGCTTGAAAAAGGTCCCAGAGCCACCAACAATTATCCACAGGGTTCCCTGGAATACAGTTTTGCAATCTACATGATTGTCCTAGTGTTAGAAAAGGTGAAATGATAGGGGCCCTCCCTGGTGGCACAATGGGTTAAAGCACAGCGCTATGAAGCCAACTGAAGCCACTGCAGCATGAGTTTGATCCGTGGACAGGGAAGCAACCCCCATAGCACAGCGGACCCTCTCCTGTCTCACCTGCTGCTCCCCTCAGCCGTGTACTTTGTGGATCTACCTGTTCTGCTCTCCACACTCTCTGATGAATCCTCTCACCCCCTGCACCTCTGGCCTGTGCCCTAGTTCTTGCATGCATAAATAAATAAATCTTTAAAAAAAATAAAAGGTGAAGTGATAATGATACTTTATATTTAACTGATGTATTCAATGACTTACATGCCCTCCTCTACACTGTACTTTCCTGTTTGTTCCCTTTGATTCTCCCACTACCCCACCACGTGAACGCCTGGGAAACAGCCTGAGAGACGCATACTTCTGGCTGCCATCAGGACTCAGTGTAGCCCTCTGTGCGTCTGGCCTTCTCCAGGTGGCATGAATCCACCTGGAAAATAGTGAGCTAATCTAGATTAAAGTATCTCTTTCAAAGTGTTTTTGGCTTCAAAATGCTTCCTTCACGGAAACTCTCACAAAGAAGCATGAAGACAGCAAAATTGGTCACAGTGATGAGGCAAAAGGAACAACAGGCGTGGGATCAGGGTGGGGTAGCTCAGAGCCTTGCCTGCTTGCTCTTTGTCTTCCCTCCCTACTTTGGGCCCTTGGGAGGACTCCAGAAGGCAGCTCGAAAACAGCTAACCTAGATTCCTCACGCAGGGCCTCCTGGCCCTGACATTCCATCAGTCTATGCCTACTCTTTAAGTGGTAGAAAACGTATGGAATTTGGGGCTCTAAATTATAGACTCTATAGCTCTCAAGGGAGAATTTTATCAGCAGCAGTAGCTATTTACATTTTAAATTGGCCAGCTGAAAGCTTAGATCAACCACAGCCTCAGATCTTTTTTTGATTCAAGACCCAGTTACATTGACTGAATGCAGCCACAAAGTTATTCTGCATTGATTTTCCATAATCTCTAAACCTCGGGCAGAAGCTAAAATGCACGCAGCACGCACAATCAGTGATCAGGTGATATCCATATTTTCAACATCCAAGTCAGGTATTGCTTTGCATTGGGGTAATGGGATTTCAGTTGATACCTATTTGTAAACTGATAGCTAATTAAATCCAGAGGTTACCAATGATACCTGTGGCTGAAGTGGTAAACTACTATGGGTGGTGACCCCTATGGGGGTTTGCTGGTAAAAACAGAGCACCCCAGGAAAATGCTAGAAGTGGGGTGATGCAATGAAAAACATATTAAGGGACTGAAAACCTGGCTCAAGGAGCTCTGCGCACATGTGAGAGAAAGAGAACGCCCACCCAGAGTGCTCCCAGCTTGAAAGGCAGGAGAGAGGCTGAGCGCAGCCGCAGCAGGGTAGCGTCACCCAGCAGTGGAGGGCCTGGGACTGCTCTGCCAGGGCTTTGTGAAGCTGGGCTTTGTGGGCACCGGCCACATGGCAGAGGCCATCATGTATGGCTTTGTTTGAGTAGTCCTTTGGGAAAAGTTTTGTTAGGTCTGGTGGAGAAAGGAAGACCCGAAGAAACAGGCATCTTGCTGGAGTGGGGCCTGGAGAGGACGGGAGACTGGAGCCAGGCGTCTTGATAAATGCGTGAGTGTGGCGTTTGTCTGTTGGGTGGTTGGGCTGCTACAGCTGTGGTCTTGAGTATTGTTTGGTGCTGTGCTGGGGCATTTCAGCATCTCCTGTTGCATCTTTTGCTGTGTTCGTGAATCGCATCCTGGCCTATAGTTTGGCTGCTGTGTGGCCTGTTGTTTTGGAGAGGAGCTGCACATTCTCAGTGGTGGGAAGGCGCCTCATAAAGGTCTTTGTGCAGGACTGGACAGTACTGCACATGACGTTGGGGAAAGTAATTGGCCATTATTGGCCTCAGTGACTCTTGTTTTTCCTGGTTTGTTAAAAAATCCCTTTGTTGTTATTTCCTAAGCCTGAGCAGTCCTGCAATTGTGCGTGCGAGTGAAGAACCCAGACAGTAATTGCTATACTATTTGGGCAGAAGGGCCTTGGCAAGTTTAATGTCCCAGGCTTCCCTGTATTTTTCATGTTTTCTTCTATTCAAGTCCCCAAAGTTAGTTACTTAAAAAGTGATTCTTCCAGAGCAAAAAGCTGACCAAAGCAGTAAACAATTATGATAGGATCCTCTATACTCTTATATAAATATAATTGAAATTTATATCTTAAAGTTGCAGTTTTTCATTTAAAATGTGGTTCAGCCTTTGATGAAGAATTATTTCCTTAAAGCAAATGACTGTGTAAGGGCTTCTCTGTGGGGAGTCAGACCAATTCTTTCTATTACACTTGGTCACTTCTTGGTTTATCACCTCTGAGTGCATACCACTTCCCAAACCTCTAGGCCCACTGCGCTCCAGTGACAAATTCTGTCTTGTAAAGAATAGTAATGAGGGACAGAATCTCAGATTCTGAAATACATATTTATTATAAAACTTAAAAGAAAGGGGCAGGGAGTAGATAAAAATAAGAAATGGGTGTATTGATTTGTCCTCAAATTTATTTATGCACATTCACTTTCATTTCACCAAATATCTAGAATACCAGTCATAAATGGGGGATTTTGTATAAGTGCTACTGGCAGATTAAACACTGAGGATGCCTAGTCCCTGTCCTTTCAAAGCTAGAAAGTAAGGAGAGGCGCACTTGTTACTATAACCAGGTGGGCAACTTCATTGTCACGAGGCTTGTCGAGTCACTTGGCACTGCATCCTGCATCCCCCAACCTTGTACTCCTCATCAGTCCAAACAAGCTCTATTTTTTTTCTAGCCCATTTCTTTCTTTCTTTCTTTTAGATATTTATTTATTTATGCATACAAGAGCGGAGGTGTAGGCCAGAGATGCAAAACACACCGCTGAGGGGAGCACGAGCGAGACAGAAGAGGGCTGCAGCACCATGTGGGTCACCTCCTTGGCCGGGGATTGAATTTGTGTCTCAGTGATTGCCGATAGCTTCATAGTGCCGCGCTTCAACCCATTGCACCACTAGGGAGGGCCCTTCTCTTTCCCATTTCATTCCATTTATCTCCTCCGAAAATACTATATAATTAACCTGTTTATCACCTCCTCTCTTTATGCATGCTTTCTCCCAAAGTTAGACAGTAAGCTCCATGAAAGCAGGGAAACATCTTTGTTGTTGAGTTCCCCCAATAAACCCAAATCTGAAACATACTAGGCATCAATAAATCTTTCTATGAATGATGAATGATAAAGGTCAAAGAGAGGCATAACAGAGGTTCAAAGGAAAGAGGCACACATCCACCTGACCCAACACTACCAAGTGGGTGAAATTTGAGTTGAATTTGAAAACCAATTTGGAACAGAGTCAGCCAATTTGGAACAGAGGAAATTTGGAGCTTGCGAAGAGAGAAAGATGGGTCTACCCAAGATATGTTCATGGCCCAGGGCGGCCCCCACTGGGCTGCTTGGTGGAGCTGCTGTGATGGCACTCAGTCACAGAACTGCAAGAGCTCAACAAGTACTGACTGATAAAAACATTGACAATTGAATCAAAAAGACCATATGGTTTTTGTGGGAGCTCAAAATATATGCAGCCAACTTGAGACTTTTCAGGCCAAACTCTGAATGATGTGGAAGGGAAGAGATCCCCAAATAGCCAGATGGGCCAGCTCAGTCCCTCCTCATCACTGGGCTGAAAGCCAGACACCACAGGCTACAGAACAAGGGGGAAGGATAAAAGGGGGATGTGTGCACGAGCCTTGCTGAGCCTTTAACCCAGGCCTCTTGTCAAGGACCGCTGAAGACAGGCCTAACAAGGGCCCTTGCGTGGTAATTCACACATGCTCCATTGTGTCTGAAATCTGAGAAGGACTCTGGGTCCAGGTCTGGGAGGGAGTAAGGAGGATACACACACTTATCTTGTATAGATTGGCTCTTTAAAATCCCAGTTGGGAACCAAACTTCACAAATAACTTTACAATTTACATGTATCAGTAGCCTCTCTTTGTAAAAATCAGATCATCTAGAATTTGAACTCCACAAATGGTCATTGTTTTTAAATAAAAATGACCAACCTTCACAACTTTTTAAGGTAACCTTTAAGGAAGGTTTCACAGTGACAGTTGGGTCCAAAAAGCACATGGAATCTTCTTTCAATACAGCAAAAATAACTTAATTCCCTGAATCAAAAGACCTAGCCAAATTCCTATCAGAAAAGCAAAACAAAAAGTCAAAGAAATGTTCACCACTTAACGGGTCAGTCTTTACAGATACACGGTTTGGCCTCAGCTTTGGAGAGGAAGCTATTAACAAGGGGTTTGGACAGATTGTTTTGCTGCCTGTGGCCTCTCCCATCAGTCT